TCGAAGAAAATTATTTCCCAAAGATATTAAATCAAAAAAAGATATTAATCAACTTTACCTATAACAAAGTAATTGATCATATAATCGCAATTACTACTTTGTTTTATTTGAATTCATCAAAAATTCATACTTATAATCTAGCCTTAATACATAGTAAACATGTAAATAGGATAAAGAAAAAAAATGAAATAAATATTTTCCTTGTTTACTTGCAACGAATGTCAAAGATAAAAAAAAAATAGATTATTATGCTATAAACGTGATCAATGACGTTTAAAGAGGGATAGATCCATAGATGAGAATAAAATTTATCGAAGAAGAGAAGTGGGAGGGGGGGGGAGGGAGGTTAAAGAGGAAAAAACCTTCGATATTTTTTTTCCTTTACATTATTTCTTTTTTCTTCTTCTTCTTCTTCTTTTGCGTCAACTTTTTTCTCGTCGATATCGACGTTCGAAAAAAAAAAAAAAAGCAAAACAGAAAAAAACCAAAACAAAATAAAAGTTTTGCTTCAGCTGACTTTTTTTTTTTTACGAGAGTGCATTTAATACTTGATAGCATCATACCGAACGAGGATTGCGTAACATTTAATTAACCGAGTTCGCAATAGAACAACACGACCAACGTAGATCAACGAGTTGAGATTCGGTGCACGCCACCACGAAATTCCTTTATATTCTTCTACTTCTTTTACCTTTTTTTCTTTTTTTTTTTTTTCTTCTCTGTTCTATTCCTCGTTCGTTATATTGTCGAAACGTGTAAAAATGGAATTCAAAATAAAAATAATAAAATAGGAAATATCTTGAACGTAGAGAGTGAATGATGAAAGGAGAAATATTTTGCGGTTGGGAAAAGTGTCTAATAACTATGGAAACATAACTTCCGCTTGTTTCGTTGCAATATCTCACGGTGGAGGGTTGGGGGAGGGAAGGGGGGATAGGAAAGAACGTTCAACAAATTACATCTTTTTCAAATCTCACTCGTGAATCTCTCTTCTTCTTCTTTTTCTTTTTCTTCTTCGTACTTGTGAGTAATTAACCATTTTTCTTTTTTTTTTTTTTTTCACAACGTTGAAATACGTACACGTAAGATGGTGTTTAAATCGTACACCCGTTACATTTACTCTAGAAATATATATATATATTTTTTTTTTTT